AAAAAAAAAAAAAAATTTGTTTATGTTGTTACCATTAAATTAATTAATATTGTTATTAATATTATTAATCAGAATAATAAACATCAGTACTGTACTGTGCTTTATATGCTCAATCAGATAGATTTGTTAGGTTAATGTCACTTTACCGAAGTGCCTGCTTTAGTTACTTGTCATCATTATTTCCAGCCATTAATTAGTTATTGCTTGCATCTGTTCTGTATCCCCTTTAAACAAAAGTTCAGTCAGAAATGAGGATTATGTCATCATTTACTCGCCCTCATGTTGATTCATGATATTTCATCTGTGCAAGACAAAAGGAGATGTTGAACAGATGTTCGCATTCATTTTTACTGAATAATGACTCTGCGTAAATCATGACAGAATTGTCATTTTTGAACTCTTTGCTCAGAATGTACTGGTGAGATCTTGTGTTTGCATGAGTTCCTCCGCTTCACGACTGCTCCGTTTAGCTTGTTGAAGTCTAATTGGGTCCTGTGTGTTCCTTTGTTTTTCTTATAGCCCAGTGGCTAATTGTGTCTCTGAACAGAGACCTGCGTTCACTGCGCTTAATTGTGGCCTTGTTATTGTGATTGAAATGTTAGCGACATGGATCTTCATTCGTATAGTTACTGCTCTTTTGTCTCTGCACTTTTTGTAGCTTAAACTCAAAAACTCTTAGTTTAACTAAGCAGAATTATTTTAATTCATTCTTTTATTCAGCAAGGATGCATTGAATTTATAACAATTATAATATTGCAAAATGATGTTCTTTTGAACTTTCTATTCATCAAAGAATCCTGAAAATCATAGCAGGGTTTCTACAAAAATATGAAGCAGCACAACTGTTTTTAACAAGGATGATAATCAGATATGTTTCTTGAGCAGGCATTCAGAAATTAAATTGATTTCTGAAGGATCATGTGACATTGAAGACTGGAGTAATGATGCTGAAAATTCAGCTTTCATCACAGGAATAAATTACATTTTACATTATATTCACATAGCTAGTTATTTTGATTTGTATTAATATTTCACAATACTGTTATTATTGTATTTTTATTCAAATAAATGCAGGCTTTGTGAGTGGAAGAGTCTTTTTCTAAAACATTAAATGTGTTCACATGGTCACAATATTTATTATATTAGGCATTTAATATTTATATTTATCATATATATATATATATATATATATATATTACAATTATGATGTAATTGATAATGATATTTAATTATTAAATAATTTCATTAATAATTAATAATAATAATAATAGCTATAATCAATAAAATAAATATTATTATTATTAAATATATTATTACTTTATATATTTTATTGAATGTTAATATTAATCATATATTTGATATAACTATATTAAATATGATTAAATAATATTCAATATAAATAAATGGCAGGTCAGTGTTTTAGTATTATTTAAATACTATTATAGTTTTTTTATTAAAATTATTAATTTGCTTTTATTTTTATACTCTGTTTTAATTTTAATTTTGTGTGTTTGTGTTTTTCTTAGTTTTTGTTCTGTTTAAATATTACTATTTATGTTTAATTTATTTATTAATTTGTTATTTATTTCCGTTTTTTGCAATGCTTCAACTTAAATTTATTTCAATTAGTTTGCAAGGCAACATTTCTGTTTATTTTTAAGTAATATCTGTATTTTTCATTTTGTTTCAATTAACAAAATGTTTGTTGTTTATTTTGATTAACAATAATAGTTTTAGTTTTAGTTATATGTCTTCTTCATTGCCCATAATTATTTTTCAGACCCCAAATAGTATGTATGTATGCATTTATTTATTTTGGCATATTATATTTCATGATTTTTTTTTTTATGGGTCTCCATTTATTGTGTATATACGACATTACAATTTGAATGATTTGGTCTTGATAGTTAAATCAAGTCAAAAAGAATTTATTTAAAACTGAAATTGTTTAATACCAAAGCTTTTCAGCACTACTTTTTATTGCACATTCAAAGGCTTTGCATTGAGCGCTTACAACCTATTAGTTGAGGCTTGTATTAAGAGCAAATAGTACAACCAATCAAGTTTGGAGTTATTAGTAGATGTGAGTAACCACTAGCTTTAAAAGTCTGCTCTTTACAGTGACAGCAATGACAGCAAGTTTCTCTGACCAGAGTTGAGGGTTCATATGGTGCTTAGTTGTCAAGTGTTGATGAAGCTGGTGTTTTGTGTGAGTGTGAGTCTGCTTGACCTCGCTGTCACTACAGTCCTTGTGTTTACAGCATGTCATCTGTCGTCTGAATGCTGTCGGCGCTCTCAGGAGAGCATGTTGAGAAGAAGAGCACGACATATGAGCAACAGTTCACTGTCAGGAGTTTCATGTTCATTCATTCTGCTGCGCCATACAGAGATTGCAGTGCTGAGGAAAATGCATCATTATCAATACATAATGATGCATTTTCCCTGCCTTCCAAAACCATGGATGGGTCAAATTTGTTTATTTAACCCAATCCTCTCAAATTTTGTAAAATGCACCAGGCAAGCACTGTGTGTACGCAATACGTCCCTTTTAAATCAATTATTTTTGCCTCATTGAAGACCAAATCATTCAAATTTCAAAGTATTTGAACTGGAAATACAATAGCAATGAAGAACTAGAAATACAATAAAAATAATCATGAAATATAATAAATATGAAAAGAATGAGTATTCAGGGTTTGACAACTATTTATGGGCAATA